AGTCTCCTCCTCCCATATCCATCCTGACGCTAGCCAGTGGCCCAAGTGGGCTTCCTAATGGGCACAGGGGTGATTTAGAGGGTCACTGGGGTCTCTACTCCATGATTCCCCAGGATAAAGCCCAGGATGAGAGTGATAGTAAGGAGACCTAACTATCCCCTGACAGCAGTCTCTGCATTTAAACCTACAAGAAATGCCCCCATATTTCTGACAGTCCATCTTGGATAAGTAAGAGGCCTTAAGATCATCATGGTGTTTTGGTATTATAATTATTAAGGCATTATTTAAAGTACTACATCTACTTCACAACAAATTAGAGAATGATGACCTTCCTGGAAATGATTGTTTTACCTGCTTCAGGTCAATAACCTTCTTCAGCCTATCTGGGCAGGGACCCTATTGTGTCATCATCTATTATTGATATCTATCACTGACACTAATTTTTTTTTAAGAAAACTAACGTAATACTATAAATATGGGTTATAATAATATATTCTTAAAGAATGGGTAAGTGCTATATGGACTCCCATTTTTCTGACAGTAAAGCACAAGAGAAGATTTTTAAGTGATTGATTTTTGTGTTCTTAAATAACTAGTGAAGTCATTGTGTTTTTTAAAAGATTTTATTTATTTGACAGAGAGAGCACAAGGAGGGGGAACTGCAGGCAGAGAGAGAGGGAGAAGAGAAGCAGGCTCGATCCCAGGACCCTGGGATCATGACCTGAGCCAAAGGCAGATGCTTAACTGACTGAGCCACCCAGGTGGCTCTTGAAAGAAGGTCTTTTCATGATTTAAAGAAACATTTGCACATGCATAAATTTGATGTTTATTTTCAGCCTGGTATTTTTAGCCTTTCCCTTTTTGTATTTTATTATGGATGATAGTTTTCAAAATATCAAACTCTGTACCATGATGTGTTTAGGGAGAACCCCTGGTAGGATGGTCCTGAATTGTTTTCTCTCATTTTCTCTACACCTGCATTTGTGCATCTTTCTCTCCTCTGCTCTGATGTATTAGTTTTGGGATAACAAAATCAGATATGGTACATTATGAATGGTGAAGTCAGTGTTAATATGCAGCTCCTACATACAAGACCCCCAAGTTTTGTTATTGTCAGCTTTTTAAATGCCTTATTCAGTGTGGGATCAATTACAGTCATTTTGTGCATCACCTGTTAAAAATGCAAACTGTATCTTTAATAAAATGCTCTTTGGTATTAAGAATAAGATTATGAAATTTTCAAAATGAAATCTGATGGCAATTTAATTTTATAATGAATAACCATAAACCTCACTAAATTTAGTCAAACTAAATCTTTAGTGAGGTCACAAATTTATTTTTATGAAAATCCCTCAAATGAGTTCAGAAATCCTCCAAGTGATAGAAAGATGTCAAATCTTAGTTCTCTGGGTGGATTAGCATCTGTAATGGTCATAGTAGCATGAAGTTCTTTGAGACTGGCTCATACAATTTCATCCACAACTATGTAGGTCTCCTAATTGGTCATATTTTTATTAGGGATTGTTTACCATTTCTGGAATCCTAATGATCAGAATGTAATCCTTGGTGTCTTTAATGAGAAAAATAATATGCCTCCTTCTCCCAAATTCAGTGTTCGACCAATACATATTTATATGATCAAGAAAAGAAAGGAATGTTTTCAGATCCTGGCTTGATTATTTTTTTGTTTCAGATGTGACAGATTTGCTGAACAAAGCTCGCTCACAAATCCCCTCTTCCTCTCTACTCCCCATTTTCCCTACTCAGTGGGCGCACACACACACACACACACACACACACACACAGCCCTTCACAACCCTGCACCATCTGACTTAATACAAACATCAGCTCCAGGTCACCCAGCTTTTCTGAAGGAAATTGTCTCTGCCGAGTACTCTTTTATTCTCAGTATACATTACATTACAAGTAATAGTACTGAACTTTTCAATGCTTACAATGTTCCCTGGGAGTGGATCAGTTGAGCAGGCGGAAAAAAAAAATCTGGAAGTTTATTATTTTTCCACCAATATATTTGACACCACCTTTGGAGAGGGGAACAAAAGACATACTGTCAAATGGATAGACCTGGACAAAATGTTACTGTTTGTTTCTCACGAGCACAGAGGTATATTTGAGCAAAGAAAGACATTCCATGACTCTCCTGGGACTTCCTTCCTTCAGCTGAATTATACCAACATGTTCACACCACTGTGGTTCAGACTGTGTTGGAATTTAAAATGCAGACTTATATTTGCCAATGTTTAAATACTACAGCTATAAAATTTCATATTAGGATCGAACCTGCCTTAAAATATCATAGAACAAATGAGAATTTATTGGGAAAAAAAGTTTGTACACATGAAATTACAGTAGAAGATAGGAAAATAAGGGATGTCCTTGTTTGACAGATTCACTACTTATACAATAAAGCCTCAAAGTCGCCAGAAGTCACCAGGTTTTGGATTATGTTTCAAATCCAGACTCACTGACATTCATGAAACTTCTGGTAAAACATGGGCCAAGTTTCGAGCAAGGCTCAGTAGAATACTTCTTTCATGTGGAACCTGTGTGAAACTCGGTGGCTTTGGCTGGGTCTCACCTTGAGCTTCACATTCAAACAATCCAAAGTTTCAGACTAAAATTAAGGGGTGAAGGGAAACAAACAAACCCCACAACAATGACAAAACAGGAAAAGATGACTTGCCGGAGAATGGAGTGGCTATCATCTTCCAAACCCGTTTCATCTTGGTGCTGCTGGATCCTCCCAACTAAACTTGTATTGCCTTCGGCAATACAATTGCATTCAGCTATGACAAATCAAGGTTTCCTACTTTTTTTTTAAAGATTTTATTTATTTATTTGACAGAGAGAGAGACAGCGAGAGAGGGAACACAAGCAGGGGGAGTGGGGGAGGGAGAAGCAGGCTTCCCACTGAGCAGGGAGCCAGATGCGGGGCTCGATCCCAGGACCCTGAGACCATGACCTGAGCTGAAGGCAGACGCTTAATGACTGAGCCATCCAGGCGCCCTGAGGCTTCCTACTTTTAAGGGGGAGAAAATTCTAGACCTCCAAAGGCCCCAGGAAGCAGTGAAGTACCTGGTCAGAAGAACCAGAGGATTTAAAATGTTGACTGTACACAGAAATGTGATTATTAATATACGCCTTCAAATGCAGATTTGAGAGGGAAGAGGTAGCAATTAAACATCCAACTTTTGGAAATAAAAAAAGTAGGATGACTGGACATCTCTAGGTTTTCTTACTACATCCAAATTCTAGAGATTATGTTGCATCTATGCCTCATGGGAAGCCACCTCTCCCCTAGCTTCCTCCAGGGTTCCGCCCCTCTGGAAACTCTGTCCTGCAGCCACTTGGTTCCTTCCTTCTTAGCAAGGTGCAGGGTGCAGTCTGGGCCGGCTGTAAGGAGCCACAGTCCTTGGCCAGGACTGAAATGGTCTCCTGACAGGATTAGGCTCGTTCTACTCCTAACCTGCCACCCAACTAGCCGGGGCAGTGTGCCAGGGGCTGCCAACCTCTGTCTCTAGCAGAGGACTTGGAAAATAACAAACCAATGTAATCAACCCACGAATTTTCTTTAAAGTAAAGGGAACATTTAAAAGAATGTTTGAATGGCAAGAAAGGGCTCCACTTCCCCTATTTTAGGAAATACACTTGTTTATAAAAATTTCTTATCCCTCATTCAGCCGAAGTTTCACCAGCATAACAGACTTTTGGCAGCAAAGGTTTTTTGCTTTTTTTTTTTTTTTGTCTCCCCCCCAACTCAGTTTTCCTTTTTAAAAATTTTCTTTCCTTTCTTTCCTTTTAATAATTTTTCTTCTTTTTATTTTTTTTTAAAGTTATCCAGACGATCACAGTGTGTTTAAAATGCATGTTTTCTTTTGACATGTGGTCTGAGATACCAATAAACTTCTTTGGAGACAAGAATCTTTAAATTCCAAGGATTTCAGTGTCCATGTGAAAAAAGCAACATTAGGCCCTGAGGCACACTGTACTTCTGAGGCAAGAGGCCACTCAAGGGAGGGGTTGATAGAATTGGGTTGTGTGCACCAGCCTTTGCTGTTTTCACAGATCTGCAGCACAGAGCTGTCGTAAAGTCTACGTGGTGAGAGACCCTACCATAAAAAAGTCTTTTTCTTTGAGTTGGGGGTTAACCTAAGACATCATCAGTGAGGAAAAACCAAAGCCTAATAGATTATTTAAAGGAAATGGTATAAAAGCATTAAGCAAACAACAACAAAAAGACTTTTTACTGAACAGAGTAAGTACCCACAATCAAAGTAAATGCTGTGTTTGAAGTTAAAGTCCACAGATCAAAGTACTTTGCAAAAGTGAGCATAAGGACGGGGAGAGGAGAGACACAGAAACCTCACCAAAATATTGTACTGTCAACGTTATGGAAACCTGCTAGCAAAAGACTTTCGGCTAGGTAAGGCATTTTCAAAACAGAGTCACCTGAATTGTCCTGGGAGCATACAAAAAAAAAAAAAAAAAGAAACAAACTGTTCGAATTCCATACTAGCAATCAGCAAACCAGGGATGAAAGAACAAAATAAAGCAGAGCTGTCTCATTGTCCCTAAAGACCAATTACTAACATTTTCTTTGCTCAGGTGGTTGTAACTTTTTCCTTTTTTTCTTTCTTTGGGTGCCTTGAGAAAGTTAAAAATAAGTAAAACAGTCTAAACAACAAAATTATGATGCCTGGAAGTCCCCCTCACTGTTGGCACTCAGGTTAATTAGAGTTCCGATGCGGCTCAGTCACAGGGAGTGTGTACTGTGGGTCAACATGACAGAGAGCTTGGAGCAAAGTTTAAAAGTACAGCCACAAAAATGCACAGATGCCCCTCCTGTATTCCAGAACACCGTATTTACCTGGAAATCATTTGCAGCCCCCACTTAGCTTCACTATAAATGAGTTATTTAAAAGACATTAGTCATAAACATATCATAAACCATTTAAATAATTCCAGAATAAAAATCTTACCTACAGGCAGCTGGGGTTCAACAGTTGCTCTAAACAGAGGAAGTAGGAGTCAGTGGCCTTTTACATGTAGAGATTGTTTATTTAGCCCTTTTTAAAAGGTCTTGAACTCCAGAGGTTTAAGATTAAATCCAATCCAAGTGTCTGAAGGAAAAAAAAAAAGGCAAGAGAGAAGGCAAATAAGAGAGGGAAAGAATCCCAGCTGCTGGGTGGTGCTACTGTTCTGAGAGCATTTGAGCTATTTTCAGCATTCACAGCAGCCGGAGTTGTCTGTAAAGGGATGAAAAAGCCATGTCTGAGTCGCCACCTCCCTCCCCCTTGCCCCACGTGGGGGGGGGGGCGGGGGAGGGCGCACGCACCAGGAAACCCACAACAACTTGGTTCACCGTACAACTACTCATTGAAATTTTGGGGAAAACTGCCACCGCTCTTGAAAAATGACAACAAAAAATCTTGACTGCAATCTTAAAGAAACACGGTGCCTTTCCGTAATCCTCAAGTTTTCAGAATGACTTACCTGATTTGTTGAAAATAAGATGTCCTATTTATGCTTTATTGAGAGGGAAGATGTTTCTTCTGACATTTACTTGCCTGGATGGGTCTTAAAAAAATATTTTAGATCTCTCTGAGGAATATCTGTTCTCACCCTATCCTTCTTAAGACTGAAGACAAATGGTTTATTTCTAGCACGCACCTAAATTTCCAGTTTCATCAACTATGCTATTTTTGAAAGCTCCTGGGTTAAGCTGTTGACATTTCTTATCTGTTGGCAGAGACTGGGGACCATTCAGTGACATGATGCAGACAGACATGGATCCCCTGCTTCTGCCTCCGAAGAAATAATTCAGATTGGGTCACCAACAATGGCCAGCAGACTTTGAGCTTTCACTTTGTTTCTAGAATTATAAAGTAAGATCTGGACGTTCTGTGCATTCATTCATTTATTCATTCATTCAGCAACTTAAGTGGCAAGTAACATCTGAGCCTCCTCTACTCAACACATTCTGACGATACAAGAGTGGGCAAAATAAACAGTGTCCTTGCCTCAGATGGTTTACAGCACCGAGAGGCAGCAAGAATAAAGAATAAAGAGAATTTGTCATAATTTTTGATAGCCTGTTTTTCACAGGAGGAGACTCTTCAAGTCGTAGCAACTGGAGATTGGGATTTCTTTCTACTATGACTGAAGGAAGACGCGATGGGTGGTCATCAGACCAACTTCTGGCTTCTGTGGGTTTTACTCTGCCTTTTACAACACCCCTTAGAAGGAAATTTGTTACTTCCTACCTGAGAAAACATTAAGTATTAAGAGCCTTTAATCCATGTAGATGAAATCCCTGAACTCTTTCATCTCCCTACTCCCGTAACATAGAGAATGCTTAGGCAGTGAGAAAGTACTGCTGGGAGCTAAGGGGAGGTGGAAGAAGATTCTCTGATCCTTAGTCCAGTGTGAAAGCCACCTGGATGTATTTTATAATGAATGTTATGAAGGTTGGTTACTAGAGGCTCAGATCAGATCCAATTGTTTCTTTGCAATTAAAGAAAGACACTGAAACTGACTATAGAAAATACTGAGGATTATGTATGATCTGTAAAGAAAAATGGTTATATTACTGCTATTTCAAGTGTGATAAAATAGTGAAATCCTTCAGGTAGCCTACACTTAGATTAAAACTAAATTAAATTAAAACTTAGTTACTTAAATTTTAAATTTAAATTTAAAGAAGAACTATAACTTAAGTTTGAAATATCTAATCAAAATTTTAAAATAAGATTAATCTTATTTTAAAATGGATAGTAGAGTTTTAAAAGATCTCTATAGAATTATGGATTTTTCTGTTCATTTATTTTAAATGGTCACATTTTACTGTGTCTTAAATACCTGCCCATTTAAAAAGAGGATACTTACTTTACTTGGTCAAAATGATAGATGGTAATTCTGGCAAATTCTAGCCTCAGATAGAAATTCTTTTTAATAGTTTTTACTTTTTCCTCCTTATAGTAGTTTATAATGAAAAGAAAAATACATGTAAAAATTGGCCATCCTTGAGAAACTATTGAAGTTAATAAAACGAAGACTACTAAGTCAACCATTACCTTTAAATTCCAAACTGCCTGCTTTCTGCACCAACACTAAGAGAAGCTCATTGTCTCACATTTAACTATTATTAGAGTCATTTTATGGTCTGCACTTGAACGCACAGGTTCTGACCCTGCTAGCTGCTTCCATTCAGCATCAGCCCTGTCTTGCCACATGACTCATCAAGGTCCCGTCATTCCCCAGTGATCCCAACTGTCCAAACAGCCTCCCAGGTAGCACCTTTCAACAGACTGGATGTCACAGAATAGTGCAAGTTGGACTTCAGGCATATTTTTAAAAATGAGAGGATAGCACATTTGGACTTTTCTACTCACCGAACTACTATGACTTTTATAAGTGACTGATGTCTTAGCAACTGTACTAGTAGTACTAATGTTAATGATTTTATTTATATTTCTTCTTTCATTTTTGTTTTTACAAATAAAATGATTTAAAATAATTGGGTAATGCTTATATTGGTGTGGGCTTCCTATATTGGGGAAACACCAACTAGGACTTTGGCATAAGCCCTCCCCTATGTAAGGTGGGGATAAAGCAATCCACAGGCTTGCAGGAGGGCTTATAGAATAATGCACATAAAATGCTTAACCGAGTAATGCTTGAGCATAGCAGCAAGTACTCAATAACAATTAATGCTATTATCACTATTGTAAGTCTACTTGGCTGTCCAGTATGGTGGATACATGGGCTATTGAACACTTAACATGTGGCTAGTCAAAACTGAGATGTCAAAAAAAAAAAAACAATGTAAACTATCATATTAATTTTTATATTGATTATATATTGAAATGATAATATTTCCGACATATTAGATTAAATAAGCTGTTTTGTTAAAATTAATTTTACCTGTTTAATTTTATTTTTTAAAATGTGATAACTAGAAAATTTTAAATTAAATATGTGGCTTGCATTATATTTCTGTTGTGCACTGCCATCTTGCTTGAGAGTGAGGAAGAGAGAGAGAGAGCTAACATGGGCGGGGGGGTTGGGGCAGAGGCAGAGGGAGAAGCAGACTCTCCGCTGAGCAGGAATCCCTGTGCAGGACTCGATCCCAGGACCCTAAGACCATGACCCCAGCCAAAGGCAGACACCTAACTGACTGAGCCACCTAGGCGCCCCAGTCCCCAAGTGATTCTTAACCACACTTTGAGAACCCCTGGTCTTGAACCTTGCTATTTAAAGAGTGGTCCACGGACCAACATCAAAGTCATCACTCGGGATCTTGTAGGAAATGTGAAATTTCAGGCCTCACCCATACCTCTTGAACCAACAAGTACATTTTAACAACATCCCCAGGTTATATGTATGCACATTGAAATTTGAGAGAAACTAATGTAGAGTAGTGACTCTCATTCCTGGGTACATATGAGGCTTATCTGGATAATCTTTAAAAATACCAGTACACTGGACCCATCTCTAGAGAGTTTGCTTTCACTAATCTGGTTGAAATCTAATGTATCTAGAAAGCCCCCCCACCCAGGTGATTCTAATGTAAGAGCAAGCACTGAGAGTTTGGTGGGCAGTGGGGCCCTCAGACCAGATGCAGAATTGCCAGGATCCAGAAACCAGACAGGCTCTCGAGGGGCGGTGAGGGGCAGATGTTTGGGACTGTCAGGTGCTAGGAGAACAAGACTTGAACAGAAGGGAGCTGGTGGAAACCACACAAGGATGGAGTGGGTGAGTGTTGCAGCCAGCAGGCAGACACTGGCAGGAGCGTCCCTGCCTTCTGCAAGTCTGACCCCAGTCCCCAGCTGCCCCAGGTTTGGAGTTGCAGGGAAGACTGGATAAAGCAGAGCATACACAGCCTTGGTCTCCGAGGAACTAGAACACTAGGCCAAGTGTTGGCTGAGCAGAGCTGCAGGCTCAAAAAATAAGATGAGTACCAACTTAGGAAAACTGTGGTGTAAGTCATGAGTGGGACTAGCAGCCGTGTTAACAGAGTTTCATAAACTCTCTATAAGGACAGGATTGGTTGGTTTCAGAGGCTCAATCTGGAATAATCTTTTCAGAGACGAGGAGAGAAAAAAATGGACAGAAGTGTGGAACGTCAGTTGAGTTGTACATTTCTTTCTCTCCTCCCATTGTGCGCAATACAAGTTGAGACCGTTCTCAGCTAAGCAGTGGTCAAACTAAGAACAATCTATGCTAAGACATAGCTGACACAGACCACACTGTCCTGGAGGATGTATCTCAAGAGAGGATCTTGGTAAGTCATGGAACTCTCTAATGTTAGAACCATGAGGCAGATTGGTGTTCTGGAGCAGAGAGACCTTCTGTTATTCTCCAGCACACCTCTGTTCTACCTTTAAAGAAGTGAGCACCTTATTTGGAATGATCTCCCCAGTTTGCCAAACCATTGCTCACTTTTTCAGGTGGTACCAGAGCATTGTGTGCTCCAGAGGTCTTCAGAAAAATAAAATCCTCACTGTAAAGGAGAATGTGGGCCCACATTGGTAATCTTTTAAACTCCTAATTCTGTATGCAGAGACCATTTGTAGCTTCCCTTCTCAATTTATTATTTGGTTGTTTTCAGAATACCTTAAAAATATATAATAATGCTTAAGAATAGAGTCTGGAGTCTGTGTGTCTGGGTTTGAATTTTGTCCTGCCACTTTTCTGTGACCCTGGGCCTGTTGCTCCACCTCCGTGTGCTTCAGTTTCCTCCTCTGTCACAGGACCTCACTGGGTTGTTGTGAGGATTAAAAGAGTTGTCTGAAAAGAAGGTAGAAAAGTCTGGCACACTGTAAATGCTATTGTTGGTTTAACAACTAAAATATAGTAAAATAATTGCAGGTTTCCAAATATGGGCAAATTTAGTAAATTTCTTGATATCACAATGATTTCCAGGGATTTTATGTGAGTGATTTCTTGAATACATGTATTTTGAAAGCTTCTTTGAGAGTTAAGTTTTTTTTTCCCGAGAGAACTCAGAATTCTCAATTGATTCCTCGTCACTTCCTATTATTTGCAAGGATCTCAGTAGGAAGGAAGTGAATGTAGTTTTCCCATGAATATTGTTTTCTAGGTTACATTTTTTCCCCTG